TACCGGTCGAAAGGACCGAATAGGTAGTTAGCACCCAGTTATGTTAGACGACTTATGTTACGTGCTATGATATTATGTGGTAGTAGTAGGGGTGAAATAGTCCCCGGAGACCGATCGAGAGGACCGAAGAGGTAGGCCAGCACCCATATATGCTAGGCAAGGTTATCGGTCAAAAGGAACGAAGGGGTAGGCCAGCACCTAGGTATGCTAGGCAAGGTTACTGGTCAAAAGGACTGAAGGCGTAGGTCAGGCACCCAGATATGCTTGGCATAATGTATTATGTATGGTATGTGGTATGATAGGGGAACTCACTAAGCTTCATGCTTACATTTTTCAGTTTTATTTCAGGTACCTCTTCAGCGAAGGGGAATCACACGTGCACCAGATTTCCGCATTATGTGATTCAAGGGATTGTACTATGATTTTATTACTATATGATGATATGATTTTGAGACATGTTTATCATGGTTTTATGGATTGATATGATATCAACAATGTTTTTGGTAAACAGTTTTATAAGTTAATTAATTAAAAATGAAATGTTTAGCCTTGAAAACTAGGATTTTACTTAATTAAAAAAGGATTGATATGATATCAACAATGCTTCTGGATCATAAATTTCTAATTTTGGGCTTGGAGCATCCATTTGGTGGCTAAATGATGATTGGTGGATTCAAATTACATGGACAGGGGGGGACCAAAGGAATCTTTGGTAATGGAAGGGTGGAGTGGTGGAATGAAGGACCAATAGCATTACAACAACCTTTGTACGGGTGGAATTTTCATCGCGAGTGTACCCGCGCAACTGCCTAGTTTGGGCATTTTGGTCATTTGGCACACTATAACCATGGGGGATCAGATCTAGAGTCTCATTGACGATTTTCCATAATTGGAGACCTGCAAGAGGCGATTTTGGGAGCTAGAAACCATTTCCTTTCATCTTTCCAAATCTTAGGTAGTTTCTTTATACAATTAGATTATTGTTCTTGTTACTTTGTTGCCATGAGTGGCTAATACTCATATATGGTTGACTTTGGCTGAAAACCAATGAATGTTTGTGGGTTTTGAAGGATTTATGTTGATTATCAATTTATTCCATGCTTATGATTCTAGTTTACAATTTTTATGCTTATTTGATGCTTTAATCATGAGCTTAGTATTTGATTGAGCAATGGTTGATTTGTTTCATTGATTTTGCATTGGATCATTGAATTTATCTAGAACAAAGGCTTTATGATGGTAGAAATCATCTCTATCTTATGAATCATAGCTCCTTTATGGATGTGTAAGCAATTGACATCCTCTAGGAATTCGGGATTCCTTCATTCTTAAGGCTAATTAATTTCTTGGGATTAATTGCTTCAATTGACCCTTGATCTTGATTAAGAAGGTGTGTTGTGGGCTTCCCCAACCTCTATACTACCTATGAGGAATCTTGGCATATCATGCTTCATGATTGCTACAACCAATTTGGGATGAAGGATAAGCTTTGTATTAGATCCTAATGATAAACACACAAATGTTCATTGTGTTGAATTGCCTTAGTTAATCAATTATTCTCAACCTTTGAGCATTTCATCAACTTGCTTAATTGCAAGGTTTTTAGTTATTCAAGTATTTTAGTTTTCAAGTAATCAAACACCCCCCCCCCCTTTAGTTTAATTGTAGTTAGTTAGTTTAATTTCACTAGTTCTATTGAATTGCATTGGTGATTGAATACAACCATTTCCCCGAGGATCGATACCCCTTTTTACCATTATATTACGTTTATTTAGCAATCAAAGGGTGTAATTTGCTTGGTGGGCTTGACATCCCATCAATTTTTGGCGTCGTTTCCAGGGAAATTTGTTATTGTTATTTGATTGTTTATGCCTAGGTCTACAAGAATCGGTGAACTACTCTACACTCCGGAAATTGAAAGAGAAGCAAAAAGGTTGAAAAAGTTAGTCAAACAAGCAAAGCAACAACAACTAGTTCGAGCTTCTTCCTCTTCTCCACTAATCAACATAGAAGATCAAGCAGGAGGGTCAGGATCTGGTTCTGGGTCAGGCGACACTATTGAGCTCATTGACGATAGGTTGTATGAGCTCATTGTAGTAGAGGTTACGTGGGGCATCCTTGACGCTACCCCAGTTATCTTAGGGACGGTCAAGGAGGGTATGATGGAGATCATGCAGGAGAGGCTCAGGGCATTCAGAATTGAGATTGTTGTGGGCCAGGTTAGGGCTTGAACTCCCTCATTTCGGGAGTTCAAAGCATGTAGGGCACCAGAGTTTTTCTTGGTCAGGGACCCCATTGTCATCCCGATGCTGGGTGGCGGATATAGAGAACACCCAACGCACGAGTTCTTTCCCGGATGCGGAAAAGGTGGGTTTTGCTTCATGTATGCGAAGAGACAAAGCCCGAGACTGTTGGGGAGAGGTGACTAGCCAGGTGGGAGCAGTCGGTGAGGCTGAGATGACATGGGTCGAGTTTTTTTAGGCAAATTGATTTGGAGTTTGAACCACCGATCAAGGTGCAACAACTTTTGAGGGAGTTTCATGACCTTCAGCAGACCACCGAGACTGTGGTAGAGATCACTGCCAAGTTCGGGAACGGGCACAGTTGATCCCACAGTATGCTACGGAAGAGGATATGAGGCGGATGAGGTATCATTCCATATTGAGGGGTGATATCCGGGAGTTTTTGAGCTTTACATGGTGTAAAACCCTGAATGAGATTGTGGAGAAGGCCCGGGAGCGGGAATGGAGTTGGACTTCTGTACAAAATGGAAGCCTGAGCAGGCGCACACAGCAGAGACTAAAAATCCTAAGACCTCGGACTCATCCAGTAGGGACCAGCAGGGCCGGGGCTGGTGTGCCAAGTGCGATAAACCGCACAGTAGATCTTGTCGGATGGGTGGTTCGGGATTCTACGGGTGTGGCCAGTCAGGCCACATGATCAAGGATTGCCCCAAGAAGGGCTTGATTTATTTTCACTGCAACCAGACTGATCCTAAGCGGGCCGACTACCCAAGGTTGCAGGGTGGGGGAGGAACAGTGGTAGTGCTTGCGCCCACCACACTAAGGATCACAAATGGCCGCCCTGCTAAGGCAGATGCTCCAGCGGTGAAGAGCCACACATTTCAGTTGACTACCGAGGAGCCTC